TTCATTTGGATTAAATTCTGAAGTGAGGACTGTCTATTTTTTTCCAGGGTAAATAAACACATACCACCCTCAACGGCGGATTCTACACTAATAGGGAATCTTTTACGAATATCTGATCTACTAGCTAGGATAGATAAAGGCGGAATTAGAGCTGGATGGTAAAAGTCGGCCAAGGGGTTTAATTCGAATTCATCAGCATGCATAGTTCTAATATCTTTTAAATAATCTGAAAGTCTATCAGCGTATCTGTAACCTTCACGAATCAACTTCTGGAATAACTTTCCATTTGGGTCAATCCATCGGCTGGTTAGTATATTGAGTACCGTTCTTTGCATTATGTCTATAACGTAAGTATGAAATGATAGTTTATCTCATTATAATATCAATTAATTTAAATACATGTTTTATTATAAAATTAAAAGTGAAGAGGGTTTATATCCTAAAATACTTTTGCTTTAGCATCTTTGACTATGGCTCGTTTTACTTGCGCATTTATCAAGAGAGATGGCACTATTTGTGAAAATAAATGCTGGCTTCCTATAGGCTGTTATAGACATTCGAAATTATATGAAAAAAATATGAAAAAAAGATTCTGCATTGTTTGTGGATTTCCTAATGATTCTACTACAGGGTGTTGTCCCGCACACTCTGCTAGGTTTCATTCGCTAAATTATCGTATGAGACAAAAATATGGGGCAGAGGTTCTTCAACCTGTAAAGACATCTGAATTATCTGCCGAGAAGTGAGTAGAGAAAGCAAAAAATATTATATAAAATAATGGCAGAAGAACAACCTAACAGATAGTATAAATCGAGGGTAGTCTTCTTCAGAATTATATTATATAAAATTGGAAGAAGACTACCCTCATCCAGGGATTGGAATTTTAACTCGTATACTTAGGTCTTGACTATTTAGGTCTTACAGTAAGTTGCGAAGAAGTTATACGAAGTCTTTTTCCCAATCCTAGCCTTATCTAAAGAATAATTAACACATATCAAATAAATTTTGAATATCTTCTGTAATTTGCACGGTATTTACTTTGCTAAAACCAGAGTCGAATAATCCTTTACTAAGTTTCTCTAATACTAATTCATCAGAAGTAAGCTTAGTATAAGCATATCGGGCATCCTCCCCATTATTCCAATATACCTCTTCTCCTGTCTGATATGAAGGTAACCTAGGTACATCCTCATTATCAAACGAGCCAACCAGATGATAATGTGTGAGCTTTTTATTAGTAGCTTTAAATTTCAACCCATATGTTACGTATAGTATTGAATTTAGTAAACCAAGTTTTGCTCGAATTGTCTTTAATCCTGATTTTTTAGCACTGCGTGATGCATCTACATTATCAAAAACCCGAGCCATTTTAGGAACTAAACCCTGGAGATATGATGTCGATTCGGGAGAACCCATACGCATCTTAACATCATCAGATTTATATCTGGCTCTATCATCGATATCTCTAGCTGGTGTGCAAATTCTTAATAATTCTAGGCAAATTCAATGCCTCTCAGCCCGGGTTGCAGTTGTGAGCCTATCTTCTCTGTAATCTTTACGGGATATAGCCTCAACAGCTGTTTCATTGTTAATACCAGCGTCTCGTAACTGTTTATAAGCTCTGAACCATTTCATGTGATTGTAATTCCCATACTTTGAGATGAAATTCTCGGTCAATGATTCAGGCGAAATCTCATAACAATCCACGATATGATGCCGGTCTAAAGAGCGCATCTCTTCTAAAGTCTTCTTTGGTTTATTCTCCAATAATTCAGCAGTCTCACGATCGACAATAGTAGCATTAGATACATCTGCTATCTCCTCTGCTTTAATGGTAGAGGAACTCGCCTTCACTGTTTGGGATAACGACATCGTAGTACCTTCAGGTTTAGGAATGAGTTCCATGACAGAGATTACCATACCCGCATTTCGGAGAAAATCAACCATCCTCCAACCAAATAAGTGCCGGGAACGGAATCTTTCCAACATATAGGCCGTCCATAAACGAACAGTTGGTACGTCCTTATTCCGGATGATAGAATCTATATCCGGAAATATTCCTCTATTCTGAAGTTCCCGGGGGAGACATTCGCGTTTAGCATTTAATAACCACTGAAATAATTCCTTTTCTATAATGGGAACGTTAGAAGATCTCTGCTCAATATGACATATATAATCCTTAATACACCGCATGCAGAATAACATCTGATTCGTTCCGGCATTTGTTTCTATGTAGTTATTAAAAAGACAGAATGCTCGCTCAAACTTAGGATTAGTGCAGGATACTCCTATTTTTAAAGTGCTAGTATAGGCAACTAGGTCTACGTCTTTCCATGATTCTTCTACGTTGCTGAAGTCATGAGCCTTTTCCACCGGATCAGACTTACCGTGGTATTCCTTGATCCGTAATTCTGGAAAATCTGTCTTGAGAGTATGAACTATTCCTTGCACATCTTTTCTAAGGTGACAGATGAGCGATGCGCTTGTCCGATTCTCAAAAGGTAATAAAGACATTTGCTTGGCCCATTCCCAAAGTTCAGCTAATACTGTTTCTTTATTAGGAGCCAAGCGGAATGTCTTACCTTTCTGAGGCTGGTAAGTATTGTGAATAACAGAGAATGACATATCCTTACGAAGAGGTTTAATCCATTCGATATTAAGATCAGTAAGATCATTATCCATAACGATAATGCGCCTAGCCTCTTGGATTAATTTATATAATTTCTCTATCGACTGTCCCGCCAAATGACTTTGTGCTTGAGCAATTATAGATACTATTTCATCAAGCCATAAATCGTATTGGGTTGGGGGACATTTGCATTTTTTATCGCATTTACAATTATTAGTAATACGGTGTAAACTCTCTATCTGACATACTACTCTCTTATGATCAGGTAGATTTATATTACCATCGATATCGCAATAAGACTTAAGATTAAGCCTTGTAGTAACAGCATTAGAATAAGAGTGACGCGTGGATAATACTAGTAAATTTACGTCATTAGGAATAGCTAAATTTTCAAGAATATAGGTTTTTCCCGTTTCCCAAGGTGACCCCACATAGATATCACCTTCATTGGGCAATTGTCTTACATATCTCTCCTCATATGTTTCTGTTGCTGTAAGGAAGTCATTATACTTGACCCGAGATGGGAATTTTACGAAAGCTTTAGGGAAACCTGGACCCTTTGTCTTGTGAGAGGGTTGCAGATAATTTTTATTTTCTTGCTGAATTTTTTCTGCAATAGATGGGTAACATTCAAAAATTTCCCATGCTCATCACTATTTTGCCGAAAACATTTTACGATGAACTTCCCACTACTAGCGCATACACGGCCGAACCACCTCTGATCCTTGTCATGTATACGTTTGCATAGTGGACATTCTAGTGAAGCTTTTCGGTTAAAATATATGAAGTTTTCTGAGTCTTTTTCTTCGATAGTCCAATCCCTAAGATAGTTAGAGTGCTTTTGTAAAACTAGGTCCGCATATTTTTGTAATATATCCTGACCCACGGATATTCTTAGCGGATTATTATTTTTTTCTATGCTAAGCATTCTAGGTCTCACTTCAAGTCCTAAACTAGAAGGCGGTTGAACCCTAGAATGATCAAGTTCATTCCAGCCATTATCTAGTGAAAACTGAAGGATGCGCTTCACACGACCTTTTTTTGCTGAACCAATTAGGCGAAGGTTAAAATTCTGACCAGGTAATTTTTGATCAATAAACTTGCCGAATTTTTCACCAGTTATGGTATATACTAATTTAGTAAATGCTTTGAGTTCGTGATGATCAATAAGAAGAACTGGTGCATATAAAATATGATAGCTACACTTGCTAAAATCTGAAGATGTAGCAATTACTAGCCCTTTAAGAATATCTTCCCAGCTACAATCAAGAATACGATACAAAGTTCTTATGAAAGAGCAACAGATATGGATGAATACACTACTAGGCTTAACTCCATTCGCTTTCATATCCTCCTGTGTAGCATCTATATCGATCACTACTCTTAAAGGTTTTTGACCGTTAATACATTCATGAATCCCGGGCAAACCATATACTTCTGAAATGTCATCTGCAACAGAAAACTTTGGGGCTCGATCATTTTGGTCGATTTTGATAACCAATTTATCTTCCACTTCATTTCGGTCATAGGCATTATACAAGCTAGAGCCTTTTTCATTCGGAAATAAGAATGAATAGATTGGGAGGCAATCCAATGATCCTTTATTATTCGACATATCTCTAGGTGGTGATGAGAGAATTTCCCGAATGGCACTTACCAAATCTTTAGGAGAAAATTTATCATTAAACTTTTCCTTTCTTAAAGTATATGTTGCATTGACATTTTGCTCTTGTACATTTAGTAGCTGAACTGATTGAGACATGGTAATGCTGGATGAGGCGTAGGGAGCTTCTTCATTATCTGACTCATAATTAGACTCATAGTTATTATAATTATCTGACCCTAAGTTAGATCCATTATCAGTATAACTGCTAGAGTCACTTAAATATTCATCAGACTCGGCGCCGTCGTAGCGGGCGAGCGTTGGGCCAGATCCAGTGCGATCAGTTTGGTAAATAGTTGGGGTACGCATGATATCAGTAAGAAAAGTTAAACTATCTCAATATATTTCAGAAATGTTTAATTTATTTTTTTCGATGGATGTAAAAGAGATGTATAGCAGATTAGTAAAAAAACCATAAATAATCATATTCTTAATAGGTGATACTTAGGGTAGTCTTCTTCAGAATTATATTATATAAAAATGGAAGAAGACTACCCTATCACTAATATGTAGTCGGGTATATGTATGACGAACTTAGTGAGCAAATTATAGAATAAAGGCATCTAGCTATATCTGAAAAAGTGTAGCCTTCTCCGTAATTATATTATATAAAAATGGGAGAAGGCTACACTTTTCTAGATGTACTCAGGTATAGTATAGCCTTTATGTAATATAGAGATATACCAAAAAGGGGTGCAAAAGAGATGTATAGCAAATTAGCAAGAGAATCGCAGATAAATCGATCCTCAGTAGGTGATATTTAGGGTAGCCTTCTTCGTAATCATTATATAGAATATTGTGACAGAAGAAGGCTACCCTATCACTAGTATGTATCTAGGTATGTGTATTCGGGTAGTCTTCTTCAGAATTATATTATATAAAAATGGAAGAAGACTACCCTAATGCTAGTATGTGCTCAAGTATGGGTACTTTTATTGGCGCAATTATTTTTTCGGAGGATGTAAAAAGAGGTGTAAATCAACCTAGTAAGCAAATCGTAAAAGGAAGGCAAATGAATATGCAACTGAAAGTGAAGCCTTCTTCAGAATTATTATATAAAAAAATGGAAGAAGGCTTCATCTCGGGTATGTCAAAAAAATTGGCATATATACACGATGCAATAGAATGCTAGCCTTAGGGCTCAGTGACAGATGACATCCAACGGAAGTCCACGCGGTGTCACATGATCACGCAGTTATATTCGGGCGATCTAATTGGCTAAGAGTAT